TTGATTTTAGATGAAATGGGTAATACCTTGATTGAAATGCAATGTGAAAATTCTAAAACAGGACATTTAAATTCGCTGCCTGGGGTGGGGTGGGGAGTGGGGATCGGAAGCGACGCTTGTGGTTCTTAAAAGCATTTTTACTTGGGAAAGCCGGACAGGGAAAGGAAAGGTCAACGTCTGTTTAATTTCCACCCCCAGCCCTGGACTTCCAGCTTTAGCTCGCCGGCCTCAGCTGTTGTACACACACGGCGAGGGGGAGGGGAGGGCGGAGGCGCGGAGGAGGGGCCGGCTGGGAGGAATCTGGGCGTCCTGCCGCGCATGCGCCTTTCCAGAGCAACAAGTGGGCTCCACAGACAGAGGAAGTGTAAAGGGGGGTGGAGAGACTGGTGCAGAGCATGGCGGTGACGTCAGCGCTCCGCCCGGGCGGCATCCCGCGCGGCCAAGCCGGGGACAGCGCGAGCCGCAGCCCGAGCAGGAGCGCCGAGACGCGCCTCCGGAACGTAGAGTAACAATCACAACCCCACATTCCGGGCGAGCACGAGCGGGAAGGGATGCGACCCGGGCCGAGGCGCCGCGCGAGCGCCCTGCAGCCAACGTGAGCGCCGCCAACCGCGGCGGCCCGGGCGCCGGCCAGGCCAGGGGGCGGCGGGAGCCTGCGTGCGTGCGCTCCTCTCTTCTGCTCTCGTGCGTCCTAGAAGCGGTGGCCGCTGCGGCTCCCTCCGGCGTGCAAACCCTGCCGCCAACAACGGAACGGCCGACCCTGCGGAGGGGAGAAGCTCCTCTCTCGGCTGCCACCCCCTCCCCCGGCCCTCCAGGGAAGCAGCGGCTTCAGCAAGATTGGACCCGGGCACCGGGTGGCACAGCCCTCTAGCCCTCGCCCCAGGGTGCCTGGCGGGGAGAGGACGCAGCTCGTAGGGGGGCCCCCAGGGGAGAGGAAGAGGCAGCCCCGTTCGAGCTTCCACGCACCAGCCACTCCGGGGAGGGGGCCAAGAGGCAACGGCGGCCAGCACCGGACACCCTCGCCCCCTCCCCCCGGGCCCGGAGCTTCCAACCCCGATCTGCCGCACCAGGAAGAAGGCGCCTGGGCTCGTTTCCCGACGAGACAGCCGCAGTAGGAGGTGGGGGCGAGGAGCGGGCTGAACCCGTCCACCGCCCCGGCGGTGGAGCCCCGGCGGAGAGGCCCTGCGCCGGCGGTGGAGACTCGTGCTCCCTCCAGCCCCGGGGGCAGAACTTTCTCGCCCCCCCTCGTCCCTCCCCCGCAGCCGGACTCCCTCCCCAGCCAGCCAGTCCTCCCGGAGGAGAAGGCGCCGCGGAGACAGCCCGGGCGGGGGCCTCCCTTACCCAGGGCTGGCATCATGTCGGCGGCGCAGGTGTCCTCGTCCCGAAGACAGTCTTGCTACCTGTGCGACCTGCCCCGCATGCCCTGGGCCATGATCTGGGACTTCTCCGAACCTGTATGCCGCGGTTGCGTCAACTACGAAGGCGCAGATCGCATAGAGTTCGTGATCGAGACCGCGCGCCAGCTGAAGCGGGCTCACGGCTGCTTCCAGGACGGCCGCTCCCCCGGGCCGCCGCCGCCCGTCGGGGTCAAGACGGTGGCCCTGTCGGCTAAGGAAGCGGCGGCGGCAGCGGCGGCGGCGGCAGCTGCCGCGCAGCAGCAACAGCAACAGCAGCAGCAGCAGCAACAACAACAACAGCAGCAGCAGCTCAACCACGTCGATGGTTCCAGCAAGGCTGCGGTACTGGCGGCCCCGTCCGGCCTAGAGCGCTATGGTCTCAGCGCCGCCGCCGCCGCTGCCGCCGCAGCCGCGGTGGAACAACGCAGCCGCTTCGAGTACCCGCCACCGCCGGTGAGCCTGGGGAGCAGCAGTCACACCGCGCGGTTGCCCAATGGCCTTGGGGGCCCAAACGGCTTCCCAAAGCCAGCATCAGAGGAGGGGCCCCCGGAGCTGAACCGACAGAGCCCCAACTCCTCTTCCTCTGCAGCGTCGGTGGCCTCTCGGCGTGGGACACATGGTGGGCTAGTGACTGGGCTGCCCAACCCGGGGGGTGGCGGGGGCCCCCAACTCGCGGTGCCTCCCAACTTGCTGCCACAGACGCTGCTTAACGGCCCAGCCAGCGCCCCGGTGCTGCCCCCGCCCCCGCCCCACGGGCTGGGAAGCCGGGGACCCCCGACGCCAGCACCGCCAGGGGCTCCCGGAGGCCCAGCCTGTCTTGGGGGCACTCCGGGCGTTTCTGCCGCGGCGTCTACCGCGTCGTCTTCAACCTCGTCGTCGGTGGCGGAGGTGGGCGTGGGTGCTGGTGGCAAGAGGCCCGGCTCAGTGTCGAGTACCGACCAGGAGCGCGAGCTGAAGGAGAAGCAGAGAAACGCCGAGGCCCTGGCCGAGCTAAGCGAGAGCCTGCGCAACCGCGCCGAGGAGTGGGCCAACAAGCCCAAGATGGTCCGCGACACGCTGCTCACGCTGGCGGGCTGCACGCCCTACGAGGTGCGTTTCAAGAAGGACCACTCGCTGCTGGGCCGAGTCTTCGCTTTCGACGCTGTCTCCAAGCCCGGCATGGACTACGAGCTGAAGCTGTTCATTGAATATCCTACGGGCTCGGGCAACGTGTACTCCAGCGCGTCCGGTGTGGCCAAACAGATGTACCAGGACTGCATGAAGGACTTTGGCCGGGGCCTCTCCTCCGGCTTCAAGTACCTGGAGTACGAGAAGAAGCACGGCTCCGGGGACTGGCGCCTGCTTGGGGACCTGCTGCCCGAAGCTGTGCGCTTCTTTAAGGAGGGCGTGCCCGGCGCAGACATGCTGCCCCAGCCCTACCTGGACGCCAGCTGCCCCATGCTGCCCACGGCGCTGGTGAGTCTCAGCCGCGCCCCCAGCGCACCTCCAGGGACTGGGGCCTTGCCGCCCGCCGCGCCCTCGGGCCGGGGCGCAGCTGCTAGCCTACGCAAGAGGAAGGCGTCCCCGGAACCCCCGGACTCAGCCGAAGGCGCGCTGAAACTGGGCGAGGAACAGCAGAGGCAACAGTGGATGGCAAACCAGAGCGAGGCACTGAAGCTCACCATGTCGGCCGGGGGCTTTGCGGCGCCTGGTCACACTGCTGGGGGTCCGCCCCCACCACCCCCACCCCTGGGACCCCATTCCAACCGGACCACCCCGCCGGAGTCAGCCCCGCAGAACGGTCCGTCCCCCATGGCCGCCCTCATGTCAGTAGCAGACACTCTGGGCACAGCGCACTCGCCTAAGGATGGCAGTTCAGTGCACTCAACCACTGCGTCCGCGCGGCGCAACAGCAGCAGCCCAGTGTCGCCCGCGTCGGTGCCTGGGCAGCGCCGCTTGGCATCACGTAACGGGGACCTGAATTTACAGGTGGCGCCCCCGCCGCCTAGCGCCCACCCGGGTATGGACCAAGTGCACCCCCAAAACATTCCGGATTCCCCCATGGCCAACAGCGGACCTCTCTGCTGTACCATTTGCCACGAACGTTTGGAGGACACGCATTTCGTTCAGTGCCCATCCGTCCCCAGCCACAAATTCTGCTTCCCTTGCTCTAGAGAGAGTATCAAGGCCCAGGGGGCCACTGGCGAGGTGTATTGCCCCAGCGGAGAGAAATGCCCCTTAGTCGGGTCGAATGTACCTTGGGCCTTCATGCAGGGCGAAATCGCGACTATCTTAGCTGGGGATGTTAAAGTGAAAAAGGAGAGAGACCCTTGAACCACAGGGCACCCACCTCCTTTGCCCTAGACCAGCTCCTCTCCAATCCACAAAGCCCCTCCCCCACCCCTCCTCCAATCTCCCTCCCCTCACCCCCAAGATGTAGAATTGTGAATATAACAAACTGCAAAAAGTTAGTCTTATGTATAGACATTATTTTCGTCGTATGTTTCTATATTTTGAAACAAAGGTATGTAACTTCTTCATTTGAAGGATAAGCTGGTTTGTGTTAAGCAGTATAATATTAGTTGGGTCATTTGCATCATATTCGTTAGCATTTATTTGGTGGCAGAATGTTTGCCTAGGTACAGAATTAATAGCCCTTAGCAACGACTGCTGCTGGTGTGTATTTTTGTAAATGTTATGCACTCTGAAAGGAAAAAAACACAAAAGAAAAAGATTTTTTTTTTTTTTGCCAAGGCCAGTGTTGCTGCCTAAAAAAAAATAATAATAATAATAATGATGCTATAAAATGGTGAAAGCTTCTTTCTAAACAGCCCCAAGTGTTGAAGTCTTCACTTTATTTTGTTCTGTTTTGTTTTGTTTTCCTGTTTTGTTTGCAAAATGGTAAGGGGGTGTTGGGGGGGACGGGGTGTTTTTTGTTGCAAGTTTGTGAGGGGAAGATGTTTAGGTTTGTTTCTACTGACCTGAATGTGTTGGATCTTCACGTGTTGTTTTGTTTTTGCTTTATTGATGCACGGATGCTTTTGAACAGTAGAGCGAAATGCTAGACATGGAGAATCTGCTCTGTTTGTCCTTTATACATTTCTGTAGTTAACAGAACACTGTAATGTGCCTTGGAGCTTAGTAACTTGTAATAAATTCAATTGATATTAATTCTGCCCCGAGTCAGCAAGTTTTGTCTTTCTAGGGCTAAGGCCACACAACTCCTACCTAGGGGACACCTTCCCTACCCTCAACAGAACAGGAATGCTAGTCCCTTTGAAAGCCCTCAGCTGGCCTGTGAGGAAGGCCCTGTGCTGCCTGGCTGGCTGCCCCTCCCCCTCAGTACCAGGCTATTTACATTCACCTCTTGGGGAGGCGACAGTTGCTGACTAAGCGATTTCTGTTTACTCTTCAGCATCTCTATTTTCCCCCGGAAATGGGGCCCAGCTGCAAATGGCATTGTCAGGAAAGCTTTTTGGTGCCTTGCCCTGTGGCCATGAGTATACACTGATACCCAGTGCATCTGTGACTTGACAAGTGGGGCGTAGGGGGTGGGTGGAGAAAAGATAGGGTGCTTCGCCTCTTGGCTATGTCAGTATTCACTGTTGATGCACATTGAAAGCAAAAAAAAAAAAAAAAAAATGCCACAGAGCTAGGATTCTTCAGCGAGGGCAGAGGGGTGTGGGCAACCGGGCAGCAAATGCTGAGCCCAGACACGGAGAGCCCCCGCAGCTTCCAGTCGATGCGCTGGAAAAGCAGTGTTTGCCTCGCTCATTACATGCCCTCTCCCTTTTAATAAGTATTTCCGAAGGCAGAACACAGCTGATCAGAGCGGCAGAGTGGGGGTTCAGGGGATGGGGAACCGGGGCTGGCGGCGGAAAAACCTAAACCCAGTTCCTGAAGTGAAGGTTACTTATGACACCAAATAAAATCCATTTCTATCGGTGAAGACATGCAATTACTCATGGGATCAACTTTTTGGCGGCATTTGTGAAGTGCCAAGGAGTGGGGAAGGGGACAGAGGACTAACGCTTTTCGGAGCTCAGAGCCCCGGAGCTGAGACCAGAAGGCAGCCCGCCCCAGGTAGCGGAAGGCAGACAAACCTGGTTTGAACCTTGTACTTTCCTGGGAGGCAAATAGAAGAAGAGTAGAAAACAGAAGGGAGGAAGCAAAACAAAACGCCGCGATCCTATCTAAATTCATTCCTGGCCACGCCCCATTCCTGGGCGGGGCGAGCTGGGCTCCGACCGTCCCCTCGGAGGCTGGAGGAAGATGTGAAGAAACTTGGCGCCCCCACCTCACACCCATCCCAGAAGGAGCGGGAGGGCTGCGAGAGGGATGTGGGCACCGGCACGTTTGGAGAAAACAAATCACCGGTTAGCCCAGAACCCCGGTGTGGAGGTTTGGTTGGTGTTGGAACTTGCTGTTAACGACACCCTTTTAGTTTCTGTTCCTGCTATTTGCCACCACCATCATAGAAGCGGTGGAAACCAGGACTGTGTGTGTGTTTGTGTGTCTGCGGGTGTGGATACCGGGAGATATTGATGGATCTGCTGCAGTCTCTTAATCCTGGTCCATGCGAGGTGGCTGTCTCACCTCTTTAAGAATCTCCCCACATATAAATAGACATTCGTGTCAGCTTCCTGCAAATGTGTCCTTGCATTTTCATCTGCTGCCAAGTGTTGTATTGGTGCTTATGAGTCATGAAACCTATTTTCATCCTCAGGGGTAATTAACTTGGGGGTGGGGGGTGATAATGCATAGCAGACTGTAGGAAGAGTTAATTCTAAAACCCATCCTCGCCTGGCTACCAATCACACATTTCACTTAGAGGTCTGGGTTGGCTTTTCTCATAAGCTCATTAATTTAAAAAAAAAAAAAAAAAAAAACCTGAGGATGTTTCGCCTGGAAGATCTTCTAAGGTGCTCCCAACCCCCACTCCCAATGCATACACTCTTGAAATGGGTTAAGGCTCCGCAGCCTGAGAAGACAGCCATTCGTGGGTGTAATTTAACCACTGCTGAAGGAAGGAGCTGTGATATGAACTTGGATGTGTGGATTACCTGTCTGGGTGTGGACCCTATGAGTAGTCTGGTGGCTCCTACTGGGAGCCTGCCCTGTTATCTTCCTCTGTGTGCTCACCGGCTCCTGCCTGCTCACAACTCTCTTCATGGCTTTGGTATTATGCTTTTAGGATTACAAGACCCTTGATTACTGGTGCACAGAGGTAGGCAAGGGGGCCTGTCATTACGAATTTAGACCATATAGTTTTCTCCCCTCTCTTGTTGCCAGGTGCTATTATTAGCGAGAAAAGCAGTAACTGTAATAATGAGGCATCCAGCAAAGGAGACCAGTTTTGTTTCAAGCCTGACTTGATGAGACCTCGGGGAGAGGAGGAGGGAGCTGGAGGGAAAGAGTGGGTTGGGGTGGAATACTTGCTGAAAGTGAATTATAATGGCGCAGTTAATTAAAGTTTACCCTAGCCAGGGGCTATTTGTTAAATGGTGGCTCACCCTTCTTCCCCCCCTCTCTCTATGTATGTCTCTGCCTCTTTTTCTTTCTTTCTTTTACTTATTTTATTTATTTATTTATTTATTTATTTATTAGCCATGTAACCTTCCTCTTTCCTGGACATATTCAGTTGCCTTAACTTAATTTGATCCTTTCCTAAGTCCCTCCTTCCCCGAAGCATTCTGTGTGCAATACCTAGGAAGCAATTCTCCTGCTCTGTAGCATGTGAGGATTCTTGTGGGTTTCAGAGTTTCAGACCCAGGTATCTGTATGAACCAAGCCTTCATTCATCTCTGTGTCACCCGGGGTTTCTCCACTTCCACTTCTCATTCTTTCCACCTCCTTCCCCCTCAGAGCCAAAGTAGTAAACTTTCTAAGTCTATATTGCATTTATTTATATCACTACTTCTGTGCCCATCCCAAGCTGAGTATCTCTTCTGGTGGTCATGAGGGTAAGGCAATGAGAACTTAATTCAACAGCTTTGAGAGAATACTCGGAGGGAGTTCATTTCTTGATTTTGATCCCTGCAGGCATCATCATGAGTGATCCACTGTGGAGGACAGCTAAACACATCAATTTCCAAAATATTGAGATTCAAGGTACGTTTTCACATCCATCCTGCCCTGGAGTGGCTGATATAATTATGAGTATGGAAATTTACTTTTGTTTCCTTGTAAACTTCACCTAGTAAAGAAAGTTAGAAGTGGAAATGATCCTTGGGTGATCTAGTAAAGTGTTTTCTAAACTTTTTTGGGGTCAGAGACACCTTAGAAAAATCTAATAAAAATTGTGGTTTTCCCCTAATAAAGTAACAGTTTGTCTATGAATTGCACACTTTTTTTTTTCTGGTGTTGGGGATTGAACCCAGGATGCTCTACCACTGAACAATATCCCCAGCGTTTTTATTTTTTATTTTGAGACAGGGTCTCACTAAGTTGCCCAGGCTGGCCTTGAACTTGAGATCCTCATGCCTCTACCTCCAGTCACTAAGATTATAGGTGTGTGCCACTGTGCCCCAATTATTCCACATGTTTTCTTTGCTTTTTAATATATGTTTTATGCATTTATTTTTGAGTGGATAATACATTCCTTTGGCTTGAAATTCAGAAGATGCAAAAGGGAATACAGTACAACTGTAATGTCCCCTTTTTATAATTGGCCCCTATGACACCAGGTTCTCTTCTGGGATACGACCAGTGTTGTATTTATAAAGGGGTTTGTGTATATCTGAAACCTATCCATGGAACGTAAGGTTAGAACCCAAGTTTAGTGCATTTACCTTGTAATGATGAGGACTTCAAAGCACAGAGATGTGAATAACTTGCCTATGGTCACACAGTGGCAGAGGGTGGTCTAGATCTCTGTTAGGAAACAGCAAAATTTTAAGGCATTTGGCTTAACTAGAGCCTTTTAGGAGAAGGGGTAATAAGTGATGGGCAGAAGGATGATGAATATCTGGTGGGGTAGATCATCCAGGATGTAGTAAAAACAAACAAGCATTTGTCCCATGGTCTCTCTCTCTCTCTCTCTCTCTCTCTCTCTCTCTCTCTCTCTCTCTCTCTCTCTCTCTCTCTCGTCATTCCTTTTGGGAAAGGGGATGTTCAAAGAAGTTTCCATAGCCTGGTGTGGTGGTGCACACCTATAATCCTAGTGGCTCCAGAGGCTAAGGCAGAAGGATCACAAATTCAAAGCCAGCCTCAGCAAAGGTGAGGTGCTAAACAACTCAGTGAGACCCTGTCTCTAAATAAAATACAAAAAACGGGATGTGGGATATGGGATGTGGATGGGGATGTAGCTCAGTGGTCAAGTGCTCCTGTGTTCAATCCCCGGCTTCCCCCTCCTCCCAAAAAAAGAAGTTTCTATGATTCTGGCTATAAATGTCAGGTGGGTCCAAACTGTTCTTAACCTTTGATCTGTGGACCTTTATACTACCTCCCCCTTTGCTGACTGGAAACTTCTGAAAGTTTCAAGACAGTCACATAGGTAGCTGACTAAGACCAACTTGGCACAACCGTTTGTAAGATGAAGGGTGGGAGACACACCTAGCACACTTTGCTCATTTCCTTGAAGTTGGGGCTTCTCTTCCTGTCCTTGTCCTTGTCTGACATCTCTGCCTAGGTATCTCTCTGCCACTTCAAAGGAGGGAACTGAAGGTATTAACGACAGGCCAGGGGTTCCACAGTGTGCCAGGTAGATGTGCACTTTGCCATCCATGCTGCAGCCTGGCCCTCAGGAAGGTGTGGTGACCCGTTTTACACACATGCCTGCCAAGCTCAGACAGATTAAAGACCCAAGAACATCCAGACTCACTGCAGCTCAAACCCAGGTCAGCGAGAGCCAGGGCTCCTCCCAGACGCCAAGGTTCCTCCATGCAGCAGGCCTCTGACTTCTGACCCCAGGGCCCAGGGATGTGAGGCTCAGAGCATGACTCCATCCATGACCCCACTCTGCATCTTCCTGGGTCTTGGAGGGAAACCCACCAACACAGGGAGCAAGGCCATCTACAGGCGAGGACATCCGGAATACTCCAGGGGAGCCACTCGCAGGCTCCATGTTTGGGGATCACTCAGGGGTACCGTCTGAACAATATTTAGTCAGGGATTCTGGACTGAGAGTTCTGAAATCTCCCTCCATGGACTCCTACTTTCAAACTTAATTAGAGAGCAAACCCACCTTTGTCTCAGCTTTGATGAAACAGAGGGGTGGGCAGGAAGCAGATGGTGAGTCTAGATTCTAAAACATGTTGCTCCTTTGGGGAGCCTCAGCCCCACCAGCCAGTGTTTCCTGGCACTCTTGTTTGTTTTAAGGGAAAACAGTAGTTGGTTAACTTTGGTGCCTTGTGTACTTGTCCTGCCTCTTTTGGGGGCCCCAGGGTGCATCTACCAGAGAGGACAGGTCTGGGTGTTGGTCTTGGAGATCTAGTAAATCTTACCCTACACCAAAGCCCAAATCATGGGTCCCTACTTCAGTCCACTGAAGACAAGTGTCTTAGCCTCCCAGCTGGGCTCCTGGTGGCTCTGGTCTCTATCAGTCAATCCTCTTCCTTCTAGGCATGACACACCCTGGCTTAGAACCTTCCTTGGTTCCTTGTTCCCTGTCCAAACTCCTCAGCACAAGGAGCAAAGCCCTCCACTATCTCTTCAGTATTTTAATTTTTAAAAAGCTCTTACATACACATGGCGAAAGGGAAAAAAATATCAAAGAGCATGAAAAGATTCTCAGTGCAAAGTGGGTTGGTCTCCTTTCTATTCCAAATCTTCAGTTCTCCTAGGAGGGAACCTCGGTGAGCAGTTATTTGGTGTCTACTTTCAGCAGTAGTAGATGCACAAAGGAGCTTAGATCTATAATATGGATCCCCTGGGGGTAGATCTGGATCCAGGACAAGGATCTGGAATTAGGTCAGAGAGACCCCTATCTTGTTCTGGGGTGCTAACTTGAAGGTCAGCTGATGGCCCCTATCCCTGCAATGGAGGGTTAACATTTATTCTTCATATACTCCTAGGCAAGGTATGTGTGTGTGTGTGTGTGTGCACGTGTGTGCGCAGGTGTGCTGCCCTTGGTCCACATCCAGTATGTTTATATTTTTGCCTGAATTGGGGAGTTGGGCTCCCCAAGCCAGCTCCTGAGTGGCCTGAAGGTTCTCTGGAAGGAACAGAGCAAGTGTCTGGGACAAGTAGGGCAGTGACCACGGAGGCCAGCTATGCTCTGGAATATCCAGAACCTTCTTCACCAACAACCATACTCCTCTCCCTCTCCTGTCACCCACAGGGCTTGGTGAAACTGGCAGAATTGCACTGTAGGTGGCAACCTGGGGGGCTTTGGCAAAAAGAAAGAGCAAAGGAGAGAAATAGTTGAACATGAACTTCTGACCAGCCAGGGTGGGGTGGTGCATACCTGTAATCCCAGTGGCTCAGGAGGCTGAGGCAGGAGGATCACAGGTATGAAGCCAGCCTCAGCAACTTAGCAAGGTTGTAAGGAACCTAGGTAGACCCAGTCTCAAAATAAGAAGTAAAAAGGGCTGGGGATGTGGCTCAGTGGTTAAGCACCCTGAGTTCTATCCCTGGTACCCAAAATCAAAACCAAAACCAAACTGACTTCAGATAGTGAGCCAGGCATTGTTATATACAAGTTCTCCATTATCAGGGCAAATCCTTGAGGCTGGTTGTGGCTATTATTCTCCTTTGACAGGAAAATACCCATCCTAGATGCTGTTGTTACCCCCACTTAACAGATGAGGACACTGAGACTCAGGGTATTAAATAATTTGCTCCTCTCTGGCTTCCCTCTTCCAGACCTGACCCTCTGGGGCTCTGGGGTTTTGTTGCAGGGAGGAGGGAGCACTTGAATTTTGGAGCCATGGGCTCTGGTTTCTGGGGCAGCTGGAGCTACAGGAGGTCCCCTGCATCTCAAAACAGGTTTGAGAGGCTGAGGCGCCTGACCACACTGATGGCCAGCACCCTGGGAGAGTCTGCTCTGGAATGTGGGGTCACGTGGACACAAAGGAATTAACTCCGTGCCCCTGGGTCTCAGCCCAGATGGTCATGGCCATGTGACTACCTCTTACAACTGCCCCTACTCTTTGCCCCTTGTCTGCCTGGAGCTGTGGGCTCTGTTGGTTTTGGATCAGAGGTGGTGGCTTGGGGAGCTGCCAATTTGCCCACTCTGGTAGGGGCCTTCTCTAAGTTTCAGGACAGGAGACAGAGGCACCTGGGAGCTTCCCAAGGTGAAAAAGAAAGGCGGGGGGTTGGTGCTTGGGAGACAAAGGAGCTCCTGCAGGGTCCTCTGCCTCACCTGGCTAAGCTACCTGGCCAGACTCCTTGCTGGAAAGCAGCATCTCAGGCTCCAGGCTGGTCCTGCCCTAGAAGAGCCTCTAGGACCCTGGGCGAGTGGGGAGCTAACTGGGGCTGGGAGCACTGGCCGCTCCTGCAGCCCCAGGGACAGCCCCCCCAGCCTTCTGACTTCTACATGATCTTGGCCTTGACCCCCTACAGAGGCAAAAGTAGGGGTCAGCTGGTGTCTGGCAGCCATAGCCCTCCTGAGAGCCTCCACCCCCTTTTTCTTAACCCTGCATGGTCCAGGTCAAGCCCTCCTCCCTGGGAGCCAACCAAGCCTGAGCCAGGGGACCTCCTAATCCTTTCATCTGCTGTCTTCCTGCTCCAGGGGCCTCTTCCCAGGGCTCTGTCTCTACACTGAGGCTGAGGGCCTGCAGCAGGGTCCCATGCACTGCAGGATGGCAGAGGTGGCCGGGCTGAGCTGGCCGTGGAAGAGCACACGGCCCCCGCATTGCTTCTGCTCCTTTTCCCTTTGTCTCCGGTTACTCCCCTGCCTCCCCGCAAGGCCCTGAGTCTGTGGAAACTTGTGTTCACCCATTTCACCCAGCAAGCGTCGACTATTGATCTATGTTTGTTTGGGGTTCAAATCCTGACTCCGCTACTCACTTTGGACAAGCTATTTGCTCTCTTTGGGCTTTGGTGTCCTCCGTGTGGCATGAGAACCCCCCTCACACGTTGTCGTTGGAGAATAAAGCAGAGTGTGTGTGAATTGTCTGCAGAATCCAAGCTTCTGGGCTTGCAGAGATGTTACTCTTCTTGCTTCCCTT